GAAAAGAAAAGAAAAGAAAAGAAAAGAAAAGAAAAGAAAAGAAAAGAAAAGAAAAGAAAAGAAAAGAAAAGAAAAGAAAAGAAAAGAAAAGAAATCTATGAGAGGGGGCAGTTGAGAGGAGCGGGAATCCTCCCAAACTCGCGCCCACAGCAATATTTCAATCTGTGTTCGTGGGCTTTTGTTCACAAATATCACGCCAAAGATTTGTTGCGTCTTGCCGTGTGTGTGTACGAGCACTGCCCGGATAATTACGATCCCTGCCTGTTACCGGCAACAATTCGATGAGGTGTTACAGTTGGTTTATAAAATGCTTTTAACGAAAAACAAAATACAATTAAAACACCCACGCACAAAACCATCACAGAAATAAAACCAAAGCAAGACGAACGCAACCCCACCGCCTCGCGGCGTGATTCTAATTCTGTATTTATTTGCAAGACAAGTCTTTTTGTTTCGAGGTGTTTTGGTTTAATTTTGAGACCTGAGCGAAAAATGCGGCCGGTCAAAATCCTGCATCTCCTGACCGACGCAAGGCAGGCTGGAGTAGGGGAATAAATAATGCACGATGTGATCGRCTAGGGAGCCTTTCCGCGGACGAGTTTGTGCCCGGCTCCCGCGCCGCTCAGCCCGCTGAAGGACAAGAGGCGGCTGCGCAGCGAGGTGCTCGCTCCGCTCCGTGTGTGCGGCCGAGCTGTACCGGAGAGCACGGCGCAGTCTCGCTTAGGAGACCCTCTCSGTGGGTCCGGAGTCGTGTGCGTGGAAGAGGCCCCCTCTGCATGTGTGTGTGTGCGCGCTCGGGACAGCGAGGGGCCCCAGGCTGCTCGAAAGATAAAAGAGGAAAGTGAGAAACTCCTCGGTCTGTGTGCGCTGGTGTGCACAGTGCTCTCCACTCCTCTCCTGCGCGGCACTGCTCGGGTGCCCGGTGCCTGCACGCAGTCCTGACCGCGCACAGGCTGCGCGCTCCACGAAATACCAACACACAGCCTCCGGGCGCAGGACGCAGCCTATGTTCCCCTGCACAGCGCGCACGCCCGCGGCGCTCAGCGCCTGTGGTGCCGAGTGCTGTGTGTGCAGCTCTCGAGGTGCGGAGCTCGCTCCCTGGGGCGCGCATCCTGCGCAGGGCAGTAGTGCCAGCGGCCCTGAGTGCGTGCAGGGAGTCTCCTGCACTGGAACACAGGGCACTGCTACGCAGGCACCCCCGGGTGCGCAGAGGCTGCAGCGCCGCGGAGGCGCAGGGTGCGCCGTGCCCTCCTCTGTGCAGYGCGCGCTGCCTCGGACGCGGAGGTCGCTGCGCCGGGCAGTTCGTCCCGCGCGTGCAGAGCGCGCAGCCCCGCTAGGTGCCATGTCCCCGGGAGCGGGCGCGAGGCGCTGCACCGGGAACGGGCGCTGCGCGTTGGTGCGCGGCGCTGCGCGCTGGTGCGCGGCGGGCCGGGAGCAGCCTGCCCCCTGCCGGTGTGCCGCGGCAGGGCCGGGGTCAGGCGGGGCGAGCGGTGCCCGCGGGCCCGGGCACCACGAGTGCTGGTGCTCGCGGCGCCGCGGATCCGGAGGGGCTGGGGGATTTTCCTGTGGGCAGTGGCCGCGCCGCCCGCCCCTGGCCCGGGAAGCCCCCTGCCCACAGCTGCCTCGGGAGTGGTGGCCGAGGGTTGCCGACCTCGGTCCCGCCTGCGGAGCCACACACTGGCGCGCAGCCTTTCGGGATCCGATTCACTTTGTGCTGTTTTGTCCTCATCCACAGCTCTACTCTGCAAATCAGCTTCTCAGCAGAGGCCGCGACCCTCCTCGTTCGCCAGTGGCCGGGGCGAAACCAGCGCTACTTGGGGACCAGAGCCATCCAGGCCCGAGACCAGAGCACCACGACCTGCCCCAGTGGAGAGAGACTGGGCTGGGCCGGACACAGTGATGGCGACCTAGACCGGAGGCCTCTCCCCCCAGCCTCGTGCGCCCTCACTGCCCCCAATAGGCTGCACAGCCCAGCGTACTCCAACTGAGGCCCTCGCAGCCTTGCCCGCCTGTCGAGATGCAGGAGCGGAGAGCTCCTATCGGGACGCTCAGCGATGAGTGACTGAGCCCGTGCTCTCCCTCCCTCGGAAGGACAAATGTAAGCGTGCTGCAAAGTGTAGTTACTAATAACAATAACAATAAATTATTGGGCTGTAGTTCAGTAGCGCAAACAAAYGACGGCGGCGAACCGCGTGCCTTGAGCCGTTCCCGCGGGGGCCAGACTGGCGGCACAAGTGCCAGCAGTGCAGCGGGGCTGGGGGCAGCACAGCGGGGCCACGGAAGAACCCTCGCTGCTCGACCCGGCTGTGGGTGGCCCGCGCGGGCACTGCTCTCCAGGGCCACCACGGCCCTCCAAGGGCCCCAGCAGTGATGGGAGCCCCRGTAAGCGCCGAGTCAGCCCGAGGGCACAGGCCGGCAGAGCGTGGTCGGAGGCCGGGCCCCGCCGAGGGCGGCGAGCACTGAGCCGGTATTTTAATTAAGCAGGGTCTCTTTGATATAGGCGGCCTGATGCTATCTCTGCGCGCTGTTCCCTCCACGGCAGCTTTTGGGTAGGTAAAGTGCTGAGAAAGCTGGATCTGTCGGGCTGAGCGAGCGGCGCAGCGCAGCGCCAGAAAGCCCTGGGGAGCCGGCTGCGTTGGGCCTGTGTGCAGCGCGCTGGGAGAGCCCGCCCTGCCGCGCGGCGCTGCGCGCCGGGGAGGTTTTCGGGGGGCCTGGAGGAACTAGAGTCAATTTACCATGATTAAAGGCGCAAGCAAGGAGGCGCCACGCATTTGCATGTGCCTTCATCTTTTTTTTAAAGTGGATTTTTGAGGGCAGAGCGGCAGACGGAATAGATTGCGTGTCCCCTCGGCGCTGCCGGAACGCCCCACACGCACTGCCGCAGAGCGGAGGTCCCCGA